GTAAAATTGACAAACCCTTACCCAACCTTATCAAGGAAGGAAAGACTAAAATCCATGCAGTTAGGAATGAAAAGGAAATCACAACAGACCCTGCAGAAATTCAGAAGTTCATCTGTATCTATTTTGAAAACTTGTATTCTAATAAGATGGGAAATGTAGAAGAAACACACAGATTCCAAGGTATGTATGAATTATCAAAGCTGACTCAAGCAGATAGAAAAATGCTTCAGTATCAATCAATGAAATTGAAGATCTAATTAAAAACCTACAAAGGAGGCTGGGGAGATGGCTCAGTAGAATAAGTGCTTGTCTGACAAGCAGAAGGGCCTGAGTTCAACTCCCAGTTCCAGTCTATGCATCTACCTGGCAAGTGCAAGGACCTGGGTTCAATCCCTGGTACCGCTTGCTGTGCTAATGCAGGAGGATCACTACAAGTTTGAGCTGGGTAGCAAGACCCTGTACCAAACAACTAAATATGTTCAGTAGAATAAGCGTTTGCCTGGCAAGCACAAGGGCCTGAGTTCAATCCCTGGTTCTGCAAAAAAAACAACAACAACAACAACAAAAACAAAAGCCAACTGAATAAAAGATTTTACAAAGACTGTCCCTGATGAAAAGTCTTATCCTTGACAAATAAACCCTGATGGATTCACTGCTGAATTCTACAAGAAATTTAGAGTAGACCCAACAGCACTACTTTTCAAACCCTTTAATGGAATAAGAAGGGAAGTAATACTCCCAAATCCATTCCTGGAAGCAAGCATTATTACTGATGCCAAAATCAGAAAAGGACCCAACTAAGAAAGAGAAGACAATCTCCCTAATGAATACGGATGCAAAAGTCCTCAACATAATGGTGAACAGAATATACCAAATCATCCAGATTATACACCATGACCAAGTGGGATTCATTCCAGGAATACAGGGATGGTTCAACATATGTAAATCAATAAATATATCACATAAACAGCCGAGGACAAAAAAATGGTCATCTCAATAAATGCAGAAAAAGCTTTTAACAAAGTCCAACAAAGTCAAAAACCCTATAGAAAGCTGGAATACATGGTCTTTATCTCAATCTGATAAAAGCTATCTTTGACAAACCAATAGCCAACATCACACTAAATGGACAGAAGCGGAAAGCTTTCTAAAATCAGGAACAAGACAAGGATGTCCGCTGTCTCCACTCTTACTCAGTATAGTCCTAGAAACTTTAGCCAGAGCAGGAAAGAAAAGGAATGATAGGAAAGACATTAAATTATCATTATTTTCAGATGACATGATATTCTACATAGACGACCCCAAAAAACCGCTAGATTCAATAAGCAAATTCAGTAGCATAGCTGGATACAGAGTCAGCACCCAAAACTCAACAGACTTACTGTACACAAATTAGAAATTAGAGAAAAAATACCTCTTACAATAGCATCCAAAAAAATGAAATACCTAAGAATCAATCTAATGAATGATGTAAAAGATCTCTGTACTGAAAATTGCAGTATTCTGAAAAAAGAGATTGAAGCAGATATCAGAAAATGGAAAGATAGTCCTTGCTCATGGATAGGAAGAACCAATACAGTGAAAATGGCCATACTTCTAAAACTGTTATATAGATTTAATGCAATTCCAATCAAAATTCCAATAGCCTATCACAGAATTACAGAAAACAATCTTAAAATTCATTTGGAACCAGAACAGACCCTAAAATAGCCAAAACAATTCTGGGCAATAAAGACAAGGCAGGGGCATCACAATCACTGACTTGAAATCCTACTATAAAGCTACTGTGATAAAAACAATGTGGTACTGGCAAAAAAAACATGCCTGAAGATTAATAGAACAGATTAGAAGATGCAGAAGCAACTCCAGATATACTCAGCCACCTTATCTTTGACAAAGGTGTCAAACATTCACTGAAAGAAAGTGTCTTTAATAAATAGTGCTAGAAAAACTGGTTCTGCAATGCTGAAGATTAAAACTGGATCCGTTTCTTTCACCATGAACTACACATTTAAAATGGATCAAAGATCTAAACATTAAAAGAGAAACATTAAATCTGGAAGATAGAATAGGTAAAACTCTTAAAGACATAAGTGTAAGCAAAGATTTATGAACAAAACCCTGATCACACAGGATCTATCACAAAGAATGAACAACTAGGATCTCATTAAAAAGCTTTTGCACACCAAGAGAAACTACTGACAGAGTGAAGAGACAACTGACAATGTGGGAAAAAATGTTATCCAACTGTTCCTCAGAGGATTACTATTGAGAACATTAAAAACTCAAAATCAGCCCTCCAAATTTGAGAGACCAATTGAAAAATGGGCATCTGAGATGAATACATACTTCTCAGTTAAAGAAACAGAAACAGCAAATATATGAAAAAATGTTCAACATCTGACTGGTCATTCAAGAGATGCAAATTAAAGCAACAATGAGATTCTATTTTACCTCCAAAAGAATGAGTATTACCAAGAAATCAACCCACAACTAATATTGGCAGAGCAGTGGGGAAAAGGAACCCTTCTCCATTGTTGGTGGGAATGTAGACTGGTGCAACCAGTGTGGAGATTCTTCAAATAAACTAAGATTGGAGGTCCCAGTTGACCCTGCTATTCCCCTGCTAAGCAACTTCGCAGAACTGAAAACATCATACCACGGTGATATATGTGCACCCATGTTTATAGCAGCACAGTTTATAATAGCTAGACCTTGAAAATAATATAAATGGCCATGAACTGAGTAATGGATTAAAAAGGTGTGGTCTTTCTACACAATGGAGCACTACTCAACCATAAAGGATAAACTTGACACTTCTATAGGTAAATGGGTGCAACTTGAGACTATACTTGTAAGTGAAACAAACCAAACATCATATTATCTCCCTAGTTTGCGAAACTCAATGAGTAAATAAGATTCAAAATGTATAATACAGTTCAATCCCCAGTTCCCCCCCCAAAAAAGTCAAAATGTATAATAGATATTATAAAATAGGAACTTCAAAAGTAAAGAAACTGGGATGGGGGAATGGAGAAAAGGCAGGGAAAAGCAAAAAAATAAAAAAAGTATATTTAGTTAGGACAGTTATACTACCAATTTCTCTAAATTCATTGAAAAGGTCTGTGCTAATACTGTTTGGTCAAATAAATGCCAGTATCTTGTAAAAAAAAAAAAAGTAGCCAACTTTTATTCATAAGAATATAAACTAAAAATGAGCATTTTTCCCCATCAGAATGGCGCAGATCCAACATTTTAATAAATCTCTGACGGTGAGGTTGTAGGTAAGCAAGTAGAGCCATAAATATCACATGCCATGTGAATTGATACTGTACCCCCAAGGAGGACAGTATTCCAGTTAGTGTCCTTTAAAGTTAAAAAAGCACATGATCTTTGACCTCCAAATTTCATCTGTGGGTATTTCTTCTGCAGGTACATAGGCAGAAGGGTTTTTTGTTTTTTTTTTTTGCTCTGAATGCCTTCAGGGCATGATTGGCTGGCTTGAGCTGTGGGGATGGAACCACAGCAACCTGAGCCTGACTGCTTTGTTGAAGCAGCCACTTAAAGAACTGAGCTAAGGGGCAGGCCCCCTACATATGCAAATAGGAAAGGACATCTACATGGTCTGGAAAGAACTGGCCCATGGACAGGATAGTTAAATGATGGCACATCCATGTAATACCAGGTAGCCCCTGATAAAGTAACAAGGCTATCTAATGATGTGTAGAAAAAGAAAACTAGGGCCGGTCAAATAGCTCAGAGGATTAAAGTGCCTGCAAGCAGGCGCAGGGGCCAGGGGTTTGATTCCCAGGCCTGCCATGCCAGCCCTGCCCCCAGGGTACACTGAGACAGCAATTGAGACTGGGCATGGTGGTGCATGCCTGTAATCCCAGCTCTTGGGAGGCTGTAAACAGGCGGATCACTACGAGTCCAATCTAGTAGTGAGACCCTCAACACCCTGTAGACCCTTCCCTAAAAAAAAATAAAAGAAAAAACTAGTATATAAATAATGTCACTTTGGATAAAAATGAAAGAAAAGGCAAGACATTTGTATAGGTCTTAAAATGTATGGAGGTGAGAACGAGAAATAATGGGCAGATAGGACAAAGACCTGAGTTAAGTGAGGTATGATTTGGGAAGACTGGAACACAAGGGAAAGAGGCTCACTGAAGTGTGCCCAGGAAGCTAGAGGGCAGGGGAAGTCAGTCCTAAAATCAGCAGCCTAACTAAAAAAGGCCAACTGCATTGTTTCATTTTCACACACCACAATAGCCTACCAAAATACTTGAAAATCCCTGAAATTGGGTGCCACCTTGGTATCCTCTCTTGGAACCCCTCTTGGCTAGTAAGAGCTTTTCTTGTTCTAATTAACTACTCTCCATGTGTTCCCCACTTCTGTGTCTGTCTACTTCACCCTTTGTCCTCAGACAGGAGCTCAGAGAGAAAATTGGTAACAGATGGAAATATAAGAAACCAAGAACACAGGTTATGTCAAGTGAGGATGTATGCAGTGCAAGAAGTTGGGCCATTTACTGTGTAAATTACGGATTTTTAAACCCATGTGAATGTACTATTTTAAAAAAATCAAAGGAAATAAACATTTTAAATTGCTACATATCAGAAGATGCTAAGTTTCCACTTTCAGTTGAATAACAGACCAACTTATGAAATGACATAGACCATGTTTATGAGTACAGGCTCTGGAGTTAAGATATTCTGGTTTCAAATTCTGGCTAACATGACATGGCATTTATGACTATTAGTTCTCTTATATCTAAAACAATTTTACTTACCTATTATTGCTTTGGTGAAGATGAAATAATACATGTACAGCTCATAATTTTGGGCTTGTAAAGCTTGCCTTTGTGATTAGAAGAGGCACCACACCTCAGACTACCTGGAAAAACATTTTGCCCTGTTCTGCATCTTAGAAACAGATTTTGACATCTTAAAACACTTAAAATGGAAAAAACAAAGGATTGCAGAAAGATGTACTTTAATTCACATTTTGTGGAATCTGATGGTACAGTAGCAAATTACTTGGAATTCTGTTCACAAAATCAAAGTTGCATCCACAGATGTTACTGAAAATAGAGTACGGATTATGTGGTGGGCTTTGACGTGCCTAAACCTGTCTTTTGGTGAACAGCTATGGTTTCCTCAGGTACTTCAGTTTCCAAACTGCTGGGAGGGGAACTGTGGACTGCACTCAAGTTTCCAGCTGAAGGCAATGCTGACGAAGAACCAAGATAGCTGTCCTTTCTTATATATAATGGCACCTAGGCAAAGTTGAAAAGTGGCAGTGTTTCATACACATATGAGACTACAAAATTGATTAATTCAAATGTTCAATGTCAAAACATTTGATCAATTTTGAAGTAAAATCTATTACTATTTGGATTTTTCTCATAACCAAAGAATCCAAACAAGGAGGATATTGAAAATTTACCAATATATACTTTGTCTGATTTACAGATTCCACTTGCAAAAAAACTGCATGTCATTGAAGGAAAGAATGTTTTCTTTACTTCATGTTCATTACTTCTTCAGCTGTTACAATCATTTCTGTCGGGTATGTGGTCAAGAGCTGGATTTTAAAGTGGGTGAGAAGATACAAACAACATGCCAAGAGGTGCTCACAGCTGGGCATGTTCACAATGCAAACTGCTCCATTGTCACCTTGCAACAGGGGTATATGAACTAGAAGACATCCCACAGTACAAGGACTTACTTAAAACATCACCAGGCTTACAAAACACAGGCTCCTACACTTTACATGACAGAAATATACACATACACAAAATGTAGGCAGCCCTTCCCCAATCTGATAATAAAATAAAACTTAGATAAATTTCATCTTAAGTATACTTCATTAGATTCTTAGTGAAAAAAATTCATTAAAACTTTTAAAGAGAACTTTTTTTTTTTTTTTTAATGTATTTGGTACAGGGTCTCACTATATAGCTCGGACTCATAGCGATCCTCCTGTTTTCAGCCTCCCCAGCGCTGGGATTATAGGCATGCACCATCACCCCTGGACTTGGTGGCTGGCTCAGCGTGCCCAGGGGCGGGGCCGGCATGGCATGTAGTACCGGGGATCAAACCCGGTCCCTGCCTTTGCCTAAACAGGTGCTTAGTCTGCTGAGCTATCTCGCCAGCCCTCCTAAAAAGAACTTCTTACTCTAAGTAGATCTTCTAATTTCCTAGAACAAACTGGAATATACTATTTTTCCTAAGCTTGAAGCAAAGTACAACAAAGAAAAATGCAATACATGAAAATGACCAAGGATTTTCTTTACTAGTAGAGTTTAAATAATTTTTAACTATAGGAATGGTGAAGTAACACTACCAAGATTTTAAATTTACAGTCAAAATACACAAAGTACAAAATCTTTCACATTTTCTTCAACTCCAAATGAACACTAAAAATAATACATCTACTAGCATTAAGATTAGTAATTAATTGCTTTTAAGGCTATTTGCCTAAAGGTCTCCTCTCACCATATGATGCTTGCAATCACAAAAAAAAGCAAAGAAAAAGTAGAGGAAGCTCTAATCAAGATGGCCTTTACTATTCAATCTAACAAACACCACCGCCACAATCAATCCCAAGTTTGTAAAAGTTAGCAGTAATTAGGTGAGAAAATAATGAGACCTTACTTCTCCAGTTATATCCTTCACAGGACAGTGAAATTTTTTAAAGGGGTAAATCAAATAAATACAATTTAAAATATGTCATAAAACTGTCAACACATTTCAGACTTTGGCAGAATAAAAGGTGGGTTTAAGAGCACTTATTTCAGAAAAGTCTAAGGAGAAACTAGACTACTAACATTACTTCACAGATGCAACCTTTCAAATCAGTCCTATCTACTGACTCCTCTAAAAGATTCAAGATTTTAAATATTGTTTGGAGACTTTAAATCTCAGGTTTACACAGTGGTAGTCTAGGACCTACAAGTCACACTAAATACCATCCACATAAGAATGAACTAAAGATGGAAAGAGGAGGGAGAGGCCAGGAAGCCTAGAAGATGGCTGACCTGATCTCCCTGCTGAAATATCTCACTAGGGAAAATTAGATGGGGAGCTAGAGGATTGCATAGATTGTATTCAAAATTAATTCCTTTAAAAATACTTACTTTAAAATAGCAAATTTTATGTACTTAGTTTTAATTGGCATTTTAAATTCATAGAATCCCATCCAAACTTTATCAAGAAGTACTTATATGAATGTGCAGGGGTTTTCTTCTTAAAGTAACTGGACATGTCTAAAATTAGGAGAGAGAGGGGCAAAGTTGGAAGAAGGTGATCTACAGGTTCTAAGAATGCGCCTGTACAGCTCCTAGCACACAGCACATCTGCTTGGCTGGCTACGAGTATGGGCAGAGCACTTATCTGTCCACCTTCACCACTGTGGGGCCTCTAGAATCAAAACAAAGTAGCAGCCACAACTAAACACCTCAAATAAAACCAATAAATTGAAGCTGAAATCCTAATCCTAAGGAACCTGACACCACTCCCCAAAAGGGCCATTCACCGCTCCAACAGCTCCATAATGTAGATGACAGCTATAGTGCTGGGCAAAGTGAAAAACACCTTCAATCACCGATAAACTTTACCACTGATACCAGCCCTGAGCAACAATGGTCCCTAGTTCTCCTTTGCAACCACAGATGGTAACAGTGTTATTAGAACAGATAGTCATTTAAAGTTCAACAGGTCAGTAATAAAAGAGTAGCAGAACAACAAAACTAATTTGAAACAATATTCAACAGACAGAAACACAAACACAGAATTAGTATAACTTACACATTTTAAAAGTACATACTTCATTTATAAATACCACTAATAATCTACGGATCATAAATATTCAAGTGAACATATGAATTTTCTCTGTTAAAGAGTTCAGAATTCTTTAAGTCTTAGAAGATTAGTCTTTTTGCTCAATGTCCAAGACTAAAAGGCTTCACATAGTCCCTTTATGTCTCTAGGTATATAAAAGCCTTCATTACCTACTGTGTTGTAATAAGATTTTAAAGTTCTGTAACTCTCTTATACTTGTAGAAAGCCTAGAGGAGAAAAAAAAAGCACTGTTAGTACATACAGCTAATATGATGTGTACATATATCAAATTACTGTTATATGGGCTATAAAATGAAATCTAAAATACGTAAGCAACATCAAACATTGAAGAATCCTTTTTTTTTTTGTACCAGGAATCAAACTGAGGACCTCATGCTTGCCAGGCTTGTGCTGCTGAGCTATATATGGCCTGAAGATTCCATTTTAAATGAGTATGCTCTAAATTTTTTTTATTGAAGATTGATAAAACATTGAAGTATTCGTCTTGGTTTAGAAGAGGCAAAAAAGCTACTTACTATTTCTTGTCAATAGATTAAGATGGAGATCAAGACAGTAATAATTCATCATAAGTAATCTCAAATCAATTATATTGGACCTTATAAATTCATTTAGCACTCTCCTTTCCAAATGGCTACTCCTTTCTTGTTGCTTTCCAAACACACTAATTTACAAGGCTGGATCCTTAAAGGCTGTATTTTATCTTCTGTGGCTGTGTATGGTGTTTTTTAAGTGGTTACTGACTGGTTGCGTAAATGAACAAAGAGCTCTTTGGCCCCACCTCAGATCTAAAACTGAAATAGAAAGCACAAAAAATCTACAAGCTCAGTATTTCTTATGTACAACTCATGTTAACACAAGAAAAATACATTTCTCTTTTCTAAAACTTAGGCAGATGTGGTATGGTGTTAAGCTTCTTTTATCAACACTTGAACTGTTACCATTTATTGAAAGCTTAGGATGTGCCATGCAACTTTCTAGCCTATAGTGCATATGATCTTAAAAGACACTGAAAAGCAGCAAAGTACTTACAATTAACCCTGGTTTTACATTTCAGGAAAACCAAGGCTCAAATCAATGAAGTATTTCCCCAGGCTCACCCAACTAATAAGAGGGTCTAATACTAGGAAGGTATTATCTTCCTCATTTTACCTAAAAAGCAAGCATGGCTGGAACAGCAAGGATTTGATATAGCCCACACTCCTAGTACATGACAGGCTAGGACTCTTAAGATTCTCAAAGAACCATAAAGGTAATGGGTTCTAGATACAGCACTTAAACCCCAAGGGTGCATTTATAAGACTCAGAAATTTAGGTAAAATTATTTGTTTCTTAATTTTACTTAGACTTTTGTTTAAATTATTTAAAGTCCTTTTCAGTCCAGTGTTATTTACTTTTTGTTTTCCAAGATATGGTCTCGCTATGTATATATAGTTCAGGCTGGCCTCAAACTTTCAGTAATCCATCTCAGTTGTCTTACATGCTGGACTTACAACGAAGCACCACCAAGCCTGGCTTCATTTCAATTTCATTTTAAATAAATTTTGTCATTTCTCCAATGTTAGCTTCCTACAGGTCTCAGAAATGGCAGGCTGATTTTTTAAATTTTATTTATATGTGTGTGTGTGTGTGGCCAGCTCAGCCCACCAGGGGGCATGTGGTGCTGGGGGATTGAACCGCGGTCCCTGTGCTTTGCTAGCTTGTTCTAAGTAGGTGCTTTAGACCACTGAGCCATCTCACCAGCCTGGTAGACTGAATTTTTAATGAAATACAAATTATTATTATTATTATTATTTTTTTTTTTTTGCTTTTATCCATTTATTTTATTTTTATTTTTAAGTGAAATACAAATTAACAGTGGACATTGTCTTGTGTTTTAAATCTCAGCCTAAATGGTTATCATTAAATACAGGGAAGCAAGAGATATGATTTCTACTACTGAGATGGGAAATCATAGTATTTTAAATTATATCTTTTGAACATATGTGTGTCTTCTGAACATATGCATACTAAGAAAATATAAGCAAAAATTTCTGTATCACTTGGTCCCTTATTTTAAAAAAGCATTTATTTATTTATTTGTTTATTTATTTTGTATTTTAGGGGTCTACAGGGTGTTTGACTTGTAGTGATCCGCCTGTTTACAACCTCCCAAGAGCTGGGATTACAGGCATGTGCCACCATGCCCAGTCTTAATTGCCATCTCAGTGTGCCTCAGGGGTGGGACTAGCACAGCAGGCCTGGGGATCGAACCCCTGGCCCCTGTGACTGCTTGCAGGTGCTTTAAACCGTTGAGCTATATGGCTGGCCCTAAAAAAGCTTTTCCTTTTTTTTTTTTTTTTTTTTTTGCGGAACCGGGGATGGAACTCAGATCCTTGCGTTTGCCAGTCAAGCGTTTATCCTACTGAGCCATCTCCCCGGCCCCTAGCTTTTCCTTGGTTTGACTTTTTGCACTATTTTTCCAAGACAGTACAGTATTATTTTTTTATGATTTTTGTGTTCTACGTATTCCTCAGTTGGCACTGCATGTGTCTCTGTAGGCAAATCCAAATTATTTCTGAAACCATTTGTGGTTATCAACAAGCAAACTGTGTCTGTAAACAAAAAATGAGGTAGAAAAGTGTGAGACTCCTCAGCTTAAGAAACAGAGTAGACAAGAGTTAATAATCTCCTTTATGCTATCCTTGACTTCTAGAAATTATACTGGAACAAGTTACAGCCACTGAAAAAACAGATTATTAAGAGAACATTTTCCTCACAAAATTGAGGAGGATGACTGAAAATACTGGTAACTGTTCAGAAACAATTTTTCCTACGACCTATAGAAAAACTAACTTGTCAGCTTTGAGGCCATCCTCTGCAAAGTGAGTAAAGGTACAACTGCATCGTCTTTAGCAGAGAAGCCAGAGCACGTTCTACTTTAGCAGAGAAGGTGATTTCTGCACTATGGAAACTTGCAGGGGACTCAAGTTTGCTTCATGGCTGCATACATGACTCTTACCTTCCAAAAGCATTTAAAAGGGCAACTATTTCCTGTCGTGTGAGCTGGAAGCCTTTAGAAGGACTGTTCTCTGGAAGCTTCTGGATTTCTTTTTCAGAGAATAGTATCTTCAAGGCAGTTCCTAAACCTTGAGTCTTAAAAACATAAAAACAAAAACACAAACAACATTACATAACAGCTACTGCAATAAAGATTTAAAAAATACCAGCCACCTTAACCATTAGGAAAGTCATATGAACTCAACTCTTCACCAAAGACAGGTTCTTATCATGCAGTTCAGGCTGGCCTCAAATTCATGGCAATCCTGCCTCAGCCTCCCGAGAGCTGGGATTACAGCTGTGCATCATCACACCTCGATAAAATAATTGTGCCCTGTATGATTTTTACTCCCACTCAGGATTAGATGTAATAAATTAGCTAAGCTGTTAGAAAACCAGAATCAGTCTAACATTTGTCAGACATGCCCTATTCCAAATTACTATCATGTTTGTTTAAAACTTCGAGAATATTACATAAGGACTACAATGTTTGATCTGTCAGCCTGAAAGTTTTTCTTTTCAGTTTTCCTTTTGGTGTTTCCAACTGAACCCAGGGTTTCACCGACACTCGTTTTCTACCTCTGAGACAAATCCCTAACCCCACTGAAAGCATTTTTTATGGGGCCTAGTAATTAAACATTCAGATTATCAGTGGTAACAATACTTAAAATTTTCAATTATTAATATTGGAGGAAAAAACCTGAACTTCAGTGCAGCCTCCACTGAAATAATCATTTTTTTTTTTTGAGACACAGACCTATTACACAGTCAGGCTGACCTCAAACTCATTATGTAGCTCAGGTTGAACTTGTGATCCTTCTGCTTCAGTTCCCAAGTGCCGAGATTATAATCATGTGCCACCACACCTGATTTCATTCTGTCTCGATTTTCTGTAACTTATCATCATCATTGTACTGAAATGAAATCAGACACTATCAGATGATCCTTTTAGACTGAGTATTCATAGTAATGATCTTTCTTTGTACAGTTTTTGTATTTTGTGACTCAGTGGTTTATTTTGACTACTGAGACAAGCTGAACAAAATTTGACATTTAAGTTTTTATTTTATTTTTGACACTGGGGACTGAACTTAGGTCCTGGTGCTTGTCAGGCACTTATGCCACTGAGCTATCTCCCCAGCCTAATATTTAAGTTTCTATAATTTTACCTTTTAAGTAAAAGAAAATTCTTCATTCATACATTAGCTTCAGAAATTAATCTGAGATTGTACCAGACATTAGATACAACAAAAATTTCAACAGAGTAACAGAAAAACATCCTTGCATGTGTACATGCCACAAAGCTTAACCGTATTTTGCATTAATAAAATTGAAAAATTATACTTTGCATCTGCCTGCTGATAAACTGATTCAGTAAACAAGGATATTTAAGTAAAAAATTGCAATGACTATTGGAAAAATGTAAGGTTAAGAGTAGTTTAAGCTATGTAGGCAGAGTGCAGCGGCCAGGATTCGATCACCAGTGTGCCATGCAGGCCTTGCCCCCGGGGTGCACTGAGATGGCTATTGAGACTGGGCATAGTGGTGCATGCCTGTAATCCCAGCACTTGGGAGGCTAATAAACAGGAGAATCACTATGAGTCTGATATACTTAGTGAGACCCTGAACACCCTGTCTTAAATATAGAAAAGAAAAAAAAATAGTTTAAGAAGAAAAAAAAACAAAATACATACCTGTAATTTCCCCCATAATCTGCATTTGTCACATCCAACACAGTCCATAATATGGGAGATATTCTTGAAATGTAACCGGAATTCCTCCTGGCAGGCAAAAAATATTTTGAGACTAAGTAGGCTTTTTTTTCTCTGTTTTGAAACAAGGTCTCACTATGTAATGCAGACTGGCTCTGAATTAATGGTGATCTCCTACCTCAGCCTCCCAAGTGCTGGGCTTACAGGTGCACCACTGCACCTGGCTTGGTTTAATAAGGGTTTAAAAAGTAAACTCTACCTGTCCTGGTTGTCTTCCCAAAAGAATTAAAAACACTGTATCACACTGATACATGTTCATCCATGCTTACAGTAGCACAATTTGTAATGGCTAAATCTTGGAAACAACCCAAATAGCCATGAACTGAGGAATGGATAAAAAAGATGTGGTATTTTTATATAACTGAGTACTACTCAGCCATAAAGAAGGATAAACTTCAGATTTTTATAGGTAAATAGATGCAACTTGAGACCATACTCCTAAGTGAATAAATAAAACTCACATGTGGAAACACTGTACTGTCTCCTTGTGAGAAACTGAAAAGAGTAAATAAGTTCTAAAATGTACAACAGATATTGTGCAATGAGAAGCAATTGTTCAAAAGGAAAAAAGAACTAGGATGGTGAAAGGAAAATGACAAGGGCTGGTGAGATAGCTCAGCAGTCTAAAGCACTGGCTTAGGCAAGCTTAGGCAACCACAGGGACCATGATTCGATCCCCAGCATCATAGGCCACACCAGCCTCGCCCCCAGGGCTGGCTGAGCCAGCCACCAAAAAAAAAAAAAAGGAAATGACAGGGAAAAGGGAAAAAATGTAAGTCAGTTATATTATTAGTGTTTCTTAATTGATTCAAAAGGAAGGATTGTACTAATATCGATTGGAGAAATTTTTGTGCCATTATCTTGTAACCTGAATGACTTTGAAGATAACATGTAATGTATTAACTATTGTTATTCTACTTTATGAAATTTTCCATAAAATAATTTCTATAAACAAAAGTAAACTATTTGACTAATTTATAAGAATTAAATTTGTTTATTAATGAACTACTTTCCAAAAGGAAAATAGCTCAGCGCGCTGTGTCTTGTAGGTTGGAAGGCGCTGACTGGGTTTGGCGTTTCGGGCAATGCAGGGGCTCGGAGACTCAGAGCTGACGCCGAGACACCTGAACTAGCTCTAGCAGAAGAGAAATGGAGGAGCCATAGAACATAAGGATGAATTCAGGAAAGCCTGAGACCATGGAAAACTTGCCTGATCTCTACACTATTTTCCAGGGAGAGGTTGCTATGGTGACAGACTATGGAGCCTTTATCAAAATCCCAGGCTGTCGAAAGCAAGGTCTGGTCCATCGAACTCACATGTCATCCTGTCGGGTGGATAAGCCCTCTGAGATAGTAGATATCGGAGACAAAGTGTGGGTGAAACTTATTGGCCGAGAGATGAAAAATGATAGAATAAAAGTATCCCTCTCCATGAAAGTTGTCAACCAAGGGACTGGGAAAGACCTCAATCCCAACAACATAATTATTGAGCAAGAAGAAAGGAGGAGGCGGTCCTTCCAGGATTACACTGGGCAGAAGATCACCCTTGAGGCTGTCCTTAACACTACCTGCAAGAAGTGTGGCTGTAAAGGCCACTTTGCAAAGGATTGTTTCATGCAGCCAGGTGGGACCAAATATTCTCTGATACCCGATGA